GTTAACCTTACTTATATATTTACAGAATTATATATTTCTTGTATTTTTTTATAAAAAAGCGCCATTTCGAATTAAACCTAAAGATTTTTCGCTTAAGTAATAAGTAAGTTAATGTTAAATATTTTTATCTCTATACTTTTTCTATTTATACTTGAAAAACTATTCCCTATAATCTATGCGTTTATAGTTAACCTTACCTACATATAGTGTTATATTATGTTTTTTTTTTTATTTTTTATAAAAAAGCGCCTTTCGTAATTAAACCTAAAGATTTTTCGCTTAATTTATAAGTAAGTTAATGTTAAGTAAAGTTAATGTTATTGTTACTTCTATGTTTTTCTAGATGTACTTGGATAACCTATTCACTATTAGTTAACCTTACTTATATATTTACAGAATTATATATTTCTTGTATTTTTTATAAAAAAGCTCATTTCGAATTAAACCTAAAGATTTTTTCGCTTAAGTAATAAGTAAGTTAATGTTCAATATTTTTATCTCTATACTTTTTCTATTTATACTTGAAAACCTATTCCCTATAATCTATGTGTTTACAGTTGACCTTACCTGCATATAGCTATACCTACATATATTTTCTTTATTTTTTATAAAAAGCTCCTTTCGTAATTAAACCTAAAGATTTTTCTCTTAATTTATAAGTAAGTTAAAGTTAAATATTTTTCCTCTATACTGTTTCTATTTATACTTGGAAAACTTAGTCCCTATAATCTATGTATTTATAGTTAACCTTACCTACATATAGAGTGTTATATTATGTTTTTTTAGTAATTTTCTTTATTTTTTAAAAAAGCTCCTTTCGTAATTAAACCTAAGAACTTTTCTCTTAAATTATAAGTAAGTTAATGTTAAATATTTTTTCCTCTATACTTTTTCTCATTTATACTTGGAAAACCTATTTCCTATAATCTATGTGTTTATAGTTAACCTTACCTACATATAGCTATCTATACCTACATATATTTTCTCAACTTTTTAAAAAAGCTCCTTTCGTAATTAAACCTAAAGATTTTTCTCTTAATTTACAAGTAAGTTAATGTTAAATATTTTTAGTTCGATATTTATTCTAGTTCTAGGATACCTAACTATACTGCTGATTTTTAGAGTACTGTGCAGTTTTCCATTACTGATATACACATCTTTATATCAATGTTGTTATGTTACGGGATACGAAAGAAAAGTGGACAAAAATAATAACGGAGTGGTGTCCTAACGGCGACAAAAGAAATAAAGGGAGACAGTGTAAATGTTGGGAGGATGACTTCAGACAAATGGCGGTCGCTAAGTGGACCCGAATAGCTAGGGATCGAACTGCATGGAAGTCCTTGGAAGAGGCCTTTGTCCAGAGACAAGCTGCTACACATAAAGCGATTACCGATATACTAGGAATACCATCACTGTGTAACAAGTATAATATTAAAGTAAATAGTAAAACATTTAAGAAAACATTGTAAAGAGTAACAGTAATAAAGGCTTATTTTATTTTATTTTTATATCAATATAAGGATGTATATATCAGTAATGGTAATTATCAATAATTATTTTATTCCTACACCAAATTTATTGGAGACATCCTGGAGTGTGGTCAACGATTCCATTCTATAATGGTAGTGATTAATTAGTTGGTGGTAGCAGTTTTATTAAATATTGTTGTCATTTGTCAGTCAGCTGTTATAAGAGAGTTGTAGTAATGTTAAATTTAATAATTGATTGTTTACAGATCTCTTTCGAATCAAAATTTTATTACATATCGGAAATTACCTATTCAAGGCTACGGTCAGTTTTTGTTCAGCACAATTCTAGAACAACAAGTTTCGGCTTCGTTGACGGTATCAATAAATACATGATTACCAATTACTGTAATACTTGATTGCCTCATTATAATAATAAAAAAATGGCTACAGAATAATCTTTGTAATAAATAAATACTTTGTTTGTGAGTATATTTTGAGAAATTTATCTTCGATTTTAGGATTATTCAGTGACAGAAACAGATCAGCATCCATACAGAACGGAGCTTTCGATCGCGTCGCTCTTGTGACACTTGAAACAACTGTACAAAGCTGGAATCTAGATTCTTACACAGGTTGTTTTTAATCTGTCACAAAAAAGGAGCCTCATGTGTATTTAACTGAAGTTACTGAGTTATCCTAAAACGTTCAAGGAAACCATTTTATTGAACGAACAGAAGATTGACAAACTTCCGTGATATTGGCCAAAGCAAGTGTTTCTTGATGTATCTTAGAAGTAAATCATAGCTGTGAGCCTTATGTCATGTTCAATGTAGTTGGGCCCATATAAGTCAGTGCTGCGTGAGCCACAGATAAGAACAGACTTATTTTTCGTATGAGTTTCTGAGCCAGAGAAGTACTGCAATGTAGTACTACTGCTAATAGCACTAGTATGTATGTTATAGTACCGGGTCAGTGAATAGGTGTTATAAAGTTTTATCAAAAAATGATCTCTTAGCTGCCCTACCTGCTTCCATGAATAGTTCCTAATGTAGAAAACCGTGCAATCAAACGGATTTTTGTTTTAATCTTCGTCATTTTAAAATAAACATTTCAGTAGAAGTGGTATTCGGGTACCTGTTGTAGTTATTTCTACCAGCATGTTGACATTTTTCCTTGCTGAGTTTGATCACCACTAATTTTTCATATATTAATAGACCCCACGAAGGTAAGTTAGCTAATTTAGTTGTATATGATAGCTGAAAGGTTCGGACTTCCTGACAGTATGTAATTCAAGTAACCTTGATCTTCTCAAGTTATTATTTATTTATTTATTACAAACTATGGAGGATTTACAGCTATGATGATCAGAATAAAAGCAGTCAAGAAAACAGATAGCCAATTACAAATCCTCACTTATATAAATTAGATATAAGTTACAGTGCACAAGACAATACAGAATATTATCAAGAGGTTATTATGTTACAGTATCCATCCGTATTCCTTTCCCATATTAAATTTTCAAAGCGCTTGTATGATGGCAGTAGGCTTACCGAGTTTTGCTTAATGAGCTTCTGTCTGCGTATGTGACTTAACCGTGTGTGGTTTGAATGTCTTGTTTGTAAAGACAGAAGTTAAGTGTCAATGAACCAGTTTTAGACTTGCGTGGACTAGTAATATGATCTTAAAACCCCTCTCACTTTGAGAGGAGGTTAGTGCCCCGTGTCAAAAGGTGGGCAAAAGACGAAAGGACAATATTCCCTATTTCAAACAACATGAAAGGGGCCCATTCTACGGAAACGCTTCTCGTACGGTATATTTCAAGGGAAAATCTGAGAGTACTACTTCCAAGGAAGATCTAAGATTATCACGGGTTGATATTTGGGTTGGGTTATAAGTCATACAGAAATTGATGAGAACGTACTCCGATCATAAGCTTTGTAGAAAGTCAAACAGCGTAATATTACACATTCAAAAAGTATTGTGGTCCTGTCACCTACTGGACATTAAGTATGAAGACCCTATATTTTTTAAGATATGGTTGGCTAACCAGCAGACAGGTCTTGTGATGGTAACTGTACTCAGAGGTGCTCTTCTGCTCATGGACTTTGGGCTTTGAGGTGGGAGTACGCTCGAAGGTTTAGACAGTCGTACCGGTTCGGATATATCGCAGGCGACAATTGCACAGTGGGAAATTGCCAACTATTCAAGTGATGGGGATGTAATGTTTGAAGAACAATGGTGGAAAGAGGCTATAAATTCGATCAATTACTTGGAGCACTGACCATAATGGCAATGATAAATGCAGAGTGAGGCCTCTGGGCCTATTTGGCGACTGGAGTCCCTAGAATACCGATGACACTTCTTTAAAAAATATTTCTAGGTACAAGAATTTTTAGTTGAGTTTGAAAATCTACCTTCAGTTTCGAAGGAATGTTATCAATTGTAAAATGTTAAACCTGAACCTTAAACTGTGATTACAAGTCGTGTAAGATAGAAGAAATTAAAAACTTAATTACAATTTTGTGTTACGTTAGTTGGTTGGAATATTGTATTTGTATCTTACGTACTATAGTAGAATAAAACATTTAATTTATGTATTGTATTTCCTACCGTAGCCTATTTATTTTACGGCTTATTATTAAAAAAATATGAAACCAAATTGGTTTGCATTTCGAATTCTTTTTAGGTTAGAATTATGTATGTACGTTATATATTTAATATAACTAAACGGTAAATATATATATTTTATATTTGTTTTTGTCTCTTAATTATAAATGGCTTGTATGATCTCTTTGGTCATACTAATACATTGTTAATTTTAACAATTAATATTCGTTGTAATTTTATAAATTAAATGAATGAATTTATTGTGTTCTAAATTTATTTTCAAATAAAAAATTGTCAATAGGAATGTACAATTTTGGCACATTCAAATATTTTTTTAGCAGTTTGTTAAAGGAAAAAAAGTTTTTTTTTTGGTTTCATTTCAGTAATAAGTTACTCGTTTGCGCTGCCGTGCTAATCCAAAACACTTCAACTTTTGACTTTGAAAGTTTTCCTACAATTTTTTATCATGTTATAACTCTAATTTTTTAACAATACAGTATTTTTTATATTATTGTCTCTTCTAAAATACATTTTAGAATAACAAAAGTAGGTATTGATCAGGGGTACTAATCCAAAGTAAAGAAACTGATTGAGCGTTTTTAAGGCAAAACATTAAGTCGAGTTACAGTATTTTGGATAGGCACGGTAGTACGGGTGTGTGTTAAAGTTATTATATTCTTGTTTTTTTATACATTTTAATGTTGCTAACTGAGTACTAAGTTGTATATTAGTTATAATGTGTTGTAGATTTCCGATTGTTACACTTTAGTTTCAACATTAGGTAATGTAATTTTTATCACTTTAATACAAATTACGGTTTTGAGTGAAATAAATTAGTCGTCACACGATCGTTGCAGCGGTAGAATCGTTTTGTGTGAGGCCGTGGTGTAGGGCGGAACTAGAGCTAGGTACTCACTGCGCCTATATGAAGTAGAAGGAGTGCGGCTGCAGCTCGAGCTGCGCCATCTTGGCGAGCAGGCGGTGCAGGCGGCGCTGCGAGGCCGCGCCCTCCCCCGCGCCCCCCGCACCCCCCGCCGCGCTCAGCGAGCGCACGCGCGCCAGCCGCGCAGACACGTGCCGCGGCATCTGGACACAGCCACGGGTCATCATTTCGCTACTTAACTCATCTATTTCAATAACATCCTAATATATCATTTATTACCAAAAATAAGTACCTACATATTTTTTTTCGTATATCTCACACAGAACAACTCTTAACTCTTAACCCTGCTTAGTTTGAAAGTAGCCGAGACCCGCGGTGTTACCCGCGTTTGTTATTATAACCTCGGGCAACGCCGCTGGGCGAAACTAGTCTAAAAAAAGTAGCCTAAGTTACTCCTTATGTCATCAGCTATCTGCCAGTGAAACTCCCGTCGAAATCGGTCCAGTCGTTCAAGAGATTACCCGGACCAAACAGACAGACAGACAAATATTGTAAAAATGATATTTTGGCATATACGAGTATGTACCGTGTAAACATACATATGCATTTAATAAAAAGCAGTTATTTTAATATTACAAACAGACACTCCAATTTTACTTATTTGTATAGACTAGGTGGCTAGTTTCAAACTAAACAAAGTTACACTATGAAAACTAGATTGACTGATAGAATAATTAAATACTATTTTTATAAACACATACATACCTATTATACATAGAAAACTCCGAAACAAATGTTTGCAGATCATACAAACATTAGATCCGATCCGGGAATCGAACCCGAGACCTCAAAACAACAGTCGCATACGCTACCACTGCACCACCGAGGCAGTATGTAATACATTGCCAGTGGCCCCACACTAGGCAAGCTTGTCCTGTGGGTGCCAGTTGCGATTACACATTTCGCTATACATTGTTGTTCAATATACATTACGTCGTCGATTTTAATATAAAATGTACAGTATTACTTACTTATACTTGAAAGAACATACTTTAAAAATATCAAACTCTAAGTCTAAGACTCGACTCGTCAAATTTTACAAAATACATATTTTAAAACGAACATGCCTCGACGACTTTTAAAGATCACTCAAAAGTAGACAAATTCATAATTTACTATTCTCTTCACCTGTCGATCTTTTTACATGTAATCACGTACAGCCTTCTGCCTTTTTATTTCCGTGCGGAAACCCCCTCGGATACCATCTATCGGTGGCATGTCGGACTCGAACCGACTAAAACCGCACGCCAGCTCGGGTACTAATAGCCGGGGAACCAGGTATACCCTAGAAAGGAAGTCTACACCCTTTTTCCTAAAGTAGCACCCAACGTTTTAAAATTTTACACCCGTAACGGTTCCAAAATAATTATTTTTAATAACTCACCATAAAAATCAAATATTTAACACTTACACTAAACAGTGGCGAGTGTAGTATGGGTGTCCATAGCGGCAACAGTTTATTGAGCACGGTCGAGTTACAATCCAACAGAGATTCCAACAGACTCAGGAAGTGAAGATTCACCGTCTCGGCCAACTGGAACAAAATATATATATTTATTACTATTCGAAAAGAATTCTAATAAATTCAAAATCTATAGAAAGTTACTGTTGATTTCAACTTTTATTCAAAAGAGTGATGAAAAACGGGTTATCGTCTGCGGTATTTTCGGACCGATACGACCTTCAAACCTTCAAGAAAAGAGCGTACTCCTTCCTCAAAGGCCGGCAACGCGTTTGTGACTCCTGAGTTGCAGGCGTTTATGGGCGGCGATAGTCACTTTCCATTAGGTGACACGTCTGCTTGTCTGCCCCCTCTAACATAAAAAAAAGCCGTAATTCCTACAATGCGTCAATTTAGCGAGCGATACCGAACTACGGAATATCTTTTAATCCTAAATCGCGGTGTGAAAGTTTTCGTGACGATTACTTTATGTAATACAAGTTTTCAACATCAACCTTGGTGATGGTGACACAATCTTAGTTGGAGGCTTCTCGCTTTGTGATGGAGAATTATAACACTCTTTTCTCAACAGTTTACAAGAATCATATCCAAATCTAACCAATCTATCTATCCTTTCTAAGGAGAGGCCTATATCCAGCAGTGGATTATTCAAGGCTGTTGATGTGATGTGATGTGATATTCAAATCTTCACACCAGTAAAACAGGGAGCGAGAGATGAAAGTGTAGGTGTTGATATCGGTCGGTGAGTAAACGTGAGCGATGTGTCGGTATTCAGTGCAAAAACTAACCACTTTGGACTGGACGGTGACCTGCAGGATGCTGGGCACGAGCTTGCACCAGAAGTCGAGCAGGATGCAGACGGTGGTGTAGTGCTGCTCGCTGGAGGGCAGCGCGGCGGCCGCCAGCTCCTCGAGGTACAGCGTCCACAGCTGGCACAGCACGAACGCGTGCAGCAGCGCGTTCATGCGCGCGCCCCACGCCTTCGTCTGCTCCACGTACGACGACATTATGGTCTGGCGAACGACGCGCGACCATTACTCTCATGTTTCGAAGAAGCTTAGGGAGTACTGTATCGACTCAAAGTAGCTTTTAGTACCGGAGATCGCTCGGTGGATGAATTTTGCCCTAATCCATTAAATTAAAATGGTTCGACTGGTATAACTCGAACTGGCATTGTATGGTCTTTCCGTGCCATAACAGTTTTTATTTCGGGCCAGGTAGATACAACAAATAATTCGTAGTGGAGAAATATGAGTGATTTATAAAGTTTTTAGGTACTTTAAACAATGTGATTTAAATTTTTACTATAAAGAATGCATCCATAAAAAAGCAAGTGTTTGCGCGTAGTCAAAACTGTTTATGCAGTTAATAAGAAACAACAGAAAACTAGTATATTAAAATCGCCTGTAATAAAAAGAGTTGGACTATCAACAGTTGATAAATTATGTAAAACTTCATTCAAAGTGCTTTCGAAGCTTTATTATCTTTCGGTTACATCCACAGATGGTTAGTAGACGTTAGTATGTTTTTGTTTTATATTAAAAAAATATTTACATTCAATTAGATAAACTTAAATCTATAAAAATATAATCTATTACACAAAGTATATTCTGAAACTTTTACTCCACCCTGAATAGACGTTAGTAAGTATAGTAAGGCGATAGTAGGCCAAAACCTCCTTTCTAAGGAGAGGCCTATGTCCAGCAGTGGACTATTAAAGGCTGTTGATGTAATGATGTGATGTGAATAGAGGTTTGGCAGTGATGCGTGAGTACTATACTGGTATCGGCGAGCAGTACCTGCACGTAGTCGGTGATGTGGCACGTGGCGTCCTGCGGCACGGGCTGTGCGGGCGGCGCGTGCGCGTGCGAGGCGGGCTGCGAGCGGCTGTTGCACAGCGCGCCCAGCACCAGCCACGAGATCAGGCGCACGCGCGCCACGCACTCGCACACCTCGCGGGACCTGCGCCGACGTTACTTTACACTATATCATCTGTACTACACTTGCCTGTCGGCTGGAAACTGACATGTCAGATGTTTACACATCGACTTCCGTAAAGACCATTCGTTCTATTTAAAACTGATAATATGAAATGAATCTTACATTACATTTTTCACATGTGTGTTTATCTATCTTTTTTTTTTACAAGAATAAACTATTATGACTTAAGATATTAATTATAGCTATGAAAGATATTACAAATATGTGAATATAATCCGATAACTTTCGTATTTAAAAAACTCTAAAATTGGAAAAATGTATCAATTTTTTGTTTTTTTTAAGATAACTCCCGCGCTAGAAATATATCCTGTCTCGCGGGGAACTTTACATGAACATGAAACGGACACAAAAAACACCCAGACTCTGAACGACAATTTGTGGATCACACACTCAACCACAACACTCAGCGTAGTAGTAAGCGGCGTGGCGACCGCTTAAACCACTACGCCATCCGTGCAGTCAATTTATTTATTACAATGCACAATATTTTTTAAAACCAATTCACTCAACTACCTGTAAGTTATACAAAATGTTTTTTAAAGTATGATATCATAAATTTGTAACGAGCTGAAAAACTTACCCAGGCAACGAAGGACTGAGCCAAGGGGTCATGTGTCTCGCAGACTGCGTGCGGTCCGTTCGACCTCTAGAATGTTCTAGAGCCAATTCCATAGCCACGTACTGTGCGATACCACCCTTCACGATAGCTCCTAGGGTGTCTTCGTTTAAGCATATCAAGTTCCGGTTTACTATAGATTTCGATACTGAGCCCTGTTGAAGAAAATTATGCTATTGATATATGTATACTTATTTTGTTTTGGCGTAATTCACCCCGTGACAACTGCATCTGAGGAGTCCCGAGTAAGATACCGCCTTTTAAGAGAGAGGGAGGGGGGAGGCTTCGCTTTTATTTTGAAGGTTTGACAATTCGATCAGTTCGGAACGTAGTCAAGAATTTGTACCAGAAGTTAGTGGTAAACTGCCAACTTTCCAAATAATGGGCATGCAAATGTTTATTGCTTTAGGTATTTAGTTCTCGCCCTATTGTTATTATATTTATATATTCGTTGTTCTGGTTTATTTTGAATTTATTACCTACATTTGTTCTGTTGTAACAAACAGCGCTTAAGGTGTTTCAAGTATTATAACTGTGTACCCATATTAATGTTATTTATTCATATTGGAAAGCGTGCTTTAAGCCGTTCAAAATATAAATTAACTATGTATTGAACTGGACGGGGGGATCTGTAATTGGCTTCCTGTTGCAAACCTTATCGCTAAGTAAATTTGTCATTGTCATTGGTCTTCGAAGTTATAAAAAAAAACTTTAAATACTTTTTATCAGAGGTGCACATCATCATCATCAACAGCCTTTAACAGTCCATTGCTGGACACAGGCCTCTCCTTAAAAAGGAGGTTTTGGCCTACAATACCACGTTGGCCAGACGGGTTGGTATAGGGTTTGTTTCAGGTTTTCCTTCTCTTTGCAGTGCTGTTGTCCTGCGTAATTTGGTCCCTTAGTCGACTCTTATGACACCCACGGGATGAATAGGAGTGGTGACACTCCGTATTTTTAATCCGTCACCACACGGAACAAACAAATACACACATTTGGTTAAATGTGTGTATTTGTTTGTTGTAGGTCTGAAACAATTGAATATATTGATAGCATTTGTGTCAAATTTATATATGAATAAGTATTTAGTTGATTAAGTGATTAAAAGAAAGAATCAATTGGACTGAGTAAAAGGTCAAAAGTGATTTGAACTAGTGACGCTGAAAGCGTTAACACGGTTGGGTATGACAAAGATTCCGGAATATGAAAGTGCGTGATTTCGTCAGAAGTAACTTTTTTGGGCAAACCTGTTGAGAACCACTGTTACTTAGGCATCCGTATACGGTCTGTCTGTGATGCTATAACTCCTAAACGAATAAATTAAATTGAGTTTCTTTGTTCACTAGTGAGCGTCGTCGGTTATAACGCGAGCGAGGCGTGAGCTACCTTGATCTTGTTGAGCAGGTGCGGGTCCTGCAGCAGGTCGATCATGTCGGGCAGGTGCGGGCGCATGCAGTCCACGGCGCCGGCCGCCACGTCCCGCGCGTCGCCCCCCCCGCCCGCCGCGCCGCCCGCCAGCGCCGCCGGCAGCGCCAGCCGACAGCCGTGCCCTGCACCGACACACCACCGTACAACTCCACCACCACGCATGCTCTTGCATCCAATAGCACGCCCTTCCCCCCTTCATGTCTTCTCACGAACTCACTGTCACAGATCAGGGCCTCAATTCTGCTATTTGAATATTGTATCAATAGACTGTCGATGGAATGTCGTCGGAATAGTTTTGCACTTTTCCTATTCTACTAACAATGTAAGACCAATGGCCTATCGATGACTTTTCACTGATACAAATGTCGTCGATGTCTTTGTAATAGTTTGGTAAACGATACATTTTAAATTTGTAAGAAAATAATAGAATTAATTTTCCAGGTATGGCAATATTGGTGATATCGCCATTGATGACACTGTGAATTGATGTTAGTAGAATACTGATTTTTTGACCGATGTCAATGACACCTCAATAGCGTGCCAATAGCATGACAGTGGCTTGGCGTTAACATAAAATAGCAGAATTGAGGCCCAGCACTGTGACGGAAGTGTACAACCCAGAAAGCGAAGTGCTAAAGTTAACCATGAGATATCACATGTCACGTTGCTTTAATCTTTTTTTAAATGTAATATTAATCATTTAACTCCTAAATCAAAAATATATTTCGAAACGTAATTTGTTATAATTGTCCTGATATACATTGAACTACTGATAACCTTTTATATCTATCTATATATCGTCCATCCCTATTAAGAATGTAGGATCTGCAAATCAGCAATTTTACAGGAGGACGCGTCAAAGTTTAAAATTGCTTAATTTTGTATATATATAAATAAATAAATTTACTTTGTTAACATAGCTATTTTAAAAACTATAAGGAAAAATTGACTTTTTGTTAAAGCTGCTAAAAAATATTGCTTTTTTAGGTCAATAGTAAAATAAAAGCAAAATCAAGAAAATTGCATATCCGGCCTTCTTAATAGGGACAGGCGATATATATATAAAAATGTTAAGTCAATTTGTATACGCTTGAAAAACTCTAAAATTTATGCACTAATTGAACTCTAATTTTAACACAATATACGACACGTTTTAAAAGTGATTTTATCTATTTTTGCAATCACAATGTGCCACAGGGAAGCGTGACAGGATATAACTAGTATTTTAGTTTGTTTATACTCAAAAACTTCTGCACCAATGTACTCAAATTTTAACACAACATACACTACAAAGATTGATTTTATCTGTTTTCGCGTCAATTTCATTTCTCATGATTGCAACCAAAATGTGAAACAATGAAGCTAGCTAGTTTTTTATAAATATTATTGCCCATAAAACTACAAAATTTAAGAAACACGAAGTACAGAGAAAATACCACCGACACTAAGCACTTACCTTGTAACACAAACTGTATCAATATGAAGAGGTTGTCGTCAGGTATGGTGGTCTTGGTCCTGAGCGCCTGCACCAACTCGTACACCAGCACCCGGCACACCAGCAGCTTGTCGCGGTCGCGCGAGAACACTCGGGTACACACCACGCTCAGCTCGGAGATCACCGACAACTTGAGGACGAAGTTCTGTATACCGTAGCTGAGGATCTTGGAGATCGGTTCGAGGATGCTCTGTAACAAAACTAAAGTTTAATTTTGCATAACACCAGCTCAAATGTATACGGAGAAGAAACCATGGTTAGTAACCACAGTTAAAGTTTAAAAAAGCTTGAATGTAGTTCTTCCAATTGTACTTGGTATCAAGGGATTATTAATAAACAATAATCTATAATTTTACCATTCATTTTTATCGTTCATCTGTTCTCAATTCACTGCTAGTTGTCTTTTTATCCGTGAAGCAGGTGAAGCAGGAACTTCAACGTCAACGACGACTACTGCGTATTCGATTACGAGTACAATAATTGAAGTTTCGATTTCTGTGGTTTCTCCATCTCTCTAAATCATTGTGGAAGTACGTTTATTGTGTACTACAGTACATTTGATTGATATTAATTAATATTATTTAAAGGGAATTAACGCGAACTCATATTTAGGGTACCAGGGTACCAGGGTTTACCAGGTTGCACCGGCCGTGGTCACAGGCTGACTATGGTAGACAAAGGTATGTAATACCCTAAATAAGAGATCGCGTTAATTCCCGTTAAATAATATTAATTATCATGGAACGCGAAAGTTTAAAAGTTAGTATGATTGATATTAGTTAAGAAGATGAGCGTGTGCCTTGTGGTTGGCGGCGGCGGGCACGCGCAGCGCGGCGGTGGCGGCCCGCAGCAGCGGCAGCACGTCGTCCAGCTGCTGCAGCATCAGCGCCGCCGAGCGCAGCAGCGCGTCCAGCTGCTGCACCAGCGCCAGGCACGCCGACAGCGGGCCCAGCGCCTCGGGCGCCAGGCACTCCAGGTACATCGCGATGTTGCCCGCTATCACCGTTATTTGCTGAAAACACACAGCCACATACAGTATTCACATCAAAATCATTATTTCTAAATCACTTTTTCAGAAAGCTGGTTCGTTTTTAAGCAATAACAGTTGTCCCATTCTGTAGCCTGACATACGTGTAGTATAATATTATAACACTCACATCGATAGGTAACGTCTTCTTGGAGTTGAGATGTTCGACGACCAGTTGCAGAGGACCGCACGGGTACAACTCGTTGAAGTCCACGAACGCCTGAGCTATGCTCTTGAAGAACATTTGCCGTTGTTTTTCTGCACATAACAGCAAAAATATCTAGATTGGAATCCAATATTACAAAATTAAAAGTAAACGGAAAATACCTATGTATGTCCATCGGTAGATGTCGATAAGCTGATAATGATAACAAAATTTAAATGTGCGCAGTTAATCCATAAATTTCCGAAATTGATTGTTTAAAATAACAAGTTCATTTACAAGATCAAATACAGTAATAAAAAGAGTAAAACCTTAAATTTATTTTATTATAATATATGATTTCCTTTCTAAATTATAACCAAAAGACTTCAAAACAGGATAGTAAAAAACCTTAAATCTTAAATGGACCTATTTTTGATTTATACTAACCTGGCGTCCTCTGCAGGAATATCTGCAAGAACACGTTATTGGGTGCGAGTTGGTGCAACACGCAGCGAAGGAACTGGTGTGCCACAAACACCGCGCTACCGGGTAGGCGAGTGTTGGTGTCCGCCTGCCACGAGTAATTGCCGAGCTGGACCACCCTATATTAGTCATGACACACTAATGTACTTCTACATGTACTGCAATTCAACTATACCAAAAACTCACAGGTGATAACCATACTTGGAATCTGCTAAGATCGTCCACTGCTGGACATAGTCCTCTCCTTTCTAAGGAAAGGAGAGGACTATGTCCAGCAGTGGACTATTAAAGCCTGTTGATGTGATGTGATATGAAGATCGTCCATCACTTGATGAAGGTAAGCAGGTCTATATCATTTCCTGAAGAACACGTACAGCCAATCGATATAAATGATCGAAAATTACATTAATTTTCACTAAAATAGAGAACGTGTGGTGATGGATTAAGAATACGGAATGTCACCACCCCCATTCATCCCGTGGGTGTCGTAAGAAGGACTCAGGGAGCAAAATATTCAGGACAACAGCACTGCAAAGAGAAGGAAAACTTGAAACAAACCCTATACCAACCCGTCTGGCCAACGTGGTACAGTAGGCCAAAACCTCCTTTCTAAGGAGAGGCCTATGTCCAGCAGTGGACTGTTATAGGCTGTTGATGATGATGATGATGATGATGAAAATAGAGAACAGAGTAATAACAGAATTGTAGAGAGAAATTTGACGACAATGGAATGACTCAATAAGGCTTTTGAGACGATCAATCGTGTCTTTAAATACACATAATAAATTGGAGTGTCCCACAGGGTACATATGGTGGGCCCTCTATACGAAACCGACTACTTCGATAGTTACATAATATTATAATAATAATATTCTACCACATTCACACAACGCCATCTAGTCCTAAACTAAGCAGAGCTTGTACTATGGGGACTAGACAACTGAATACTTTTTTTTGTAAATACATACATATTACACATAGAAACACCCAGACCAAATCAAACATTAAATGTTCATGCACACAAATGTTTAACTTGAGCGGGAATCGAACCCGCGACCTTTTGAATAGCAGTCCGTTACACAAACCACTACGCCATCCTGTCGTTATAGGGTGATGATAATTATAATTAAAACCGGGCAGATTTGGCAATAATTCACACTTATTGAAGTAATAACAATCAAATACCTGCTAACGTTGTGCAGTAATGCAGGCAACATCCCAGCAGCGGCAGCAGGTTCTCGATGTACAAACGTAGCTAAAACTATTATACACAGTCCTAATTCCTCATCACTGTACTGTTCTACGGCTGTTCCGCATTCGGCACCTGTTTTATGACATACATTTTTATTGATTTTCGGCACAAGTTTGACACTATCAGAGAACAAGTTAAGGTGTATAAGGCACTCACATCGGTAGCACAGCACAGTTTCTCCCTTAGAGTGTTGCGCGTGCGCAGCGCGTCGTCCAGCGCGGGACGCCCCCTCCCACCAGCCGCCGCAACTTCCCGCTCCACCACACTCTACGAGACATATCATATTTTAAAGTTATACATACTTTTTTTAACATGAATATTGTTATGTAAAGATGAGTTTATAAAAACCGACCACTGTCATGTTGATGAGGCGGAGAACCCAATTGTGCTGCTTGTCTGGCCAATCGACGGGGAGACCTGCTGCAGAACAAAACATCCCTTTCGTAATAATAATCTTTTAAATATCTATGTCTAAATATTTGCACACCTTTAAGAGGTTATATTACAGCGTACCCATGTATTATAAGATGTATCTTCTACCACCTTTATACCTGTTTTATGCAAATAATACATGATTTGATTTGATTCGTATTTATAGTAGGTACAGCGGAAACTTACCACACAAATTCAGTTTTCTGTATATGGCAATTAATTGTCCTGTTGTTATTATTAAGGTTTACAAGCGAAAGACGAGTGAAGGGATTTCCCACCTCTATTACTGGTCATACTATCGGCTTTCCTCGTACATCACTACAGTTAATAAACTCAATAGCTCACGTTGGCTATTACATCTCTTGCCATTTTAAGTATTTAGTTTCACATTTTAGATTTATTTTACTCCTCAACAGCACTATCGTTACTAAAACATATAATAAACATGGTTACTTTTGTGAACTCATTCAGAGAACAAGAAAAAAGACCATATTTTGTAATTTTAGAACCATGGACCATATGGAAAGTGACCATCGCCGCCCATGAACGTCTGCAACTCAGGAGTCACAAACGCGTTGCCGGCCTTTTACGAAGGAGCACGCTCTTTTCTTGAAGGTCGTATCGGTCCGGAAATGCCATCTTGTTTATCGTAACTAAAGTCCTCGTTAGTGGAGCCTAGCTCAACAAATTTGTCCTAACAGATGGTACTGCCAGCAGACGCGGCCGCCGTCTTCGCAACACACACTTGTCGGGAACATACAGGTTTACCTCTTTTCATCTCTATTAGGTATACCTAGTATAAATATCGAAATATCTTTTTTGAGTTCAAAGATGCCGAATTTGTGACGTAAGCTGATAGTGAAATTCAAGAAGTCACATAAAAGATATACATACCCGGTGGCCTCTGAAGCAGCTTTAGATTTATTCAAGTCGTGCGGTCTGCTCGAAGGCGCCGGAGTGGGAGTTGGCTCAGCTTCAGAACGGGATGAATCAGTTTTATCGGTTGAATCATCTAAAATAGAAAGTAACTGTAGACTGTAACTGCTATATTTGATGACAGATAAGCTAATAGGAATAATATTTACATAAGGGCGGACATGAGAGAAACCGATAGAGAGAACCGATTTTATAAGATTATAATTATGTTTATGTATACGATGTATACATACATACAAATGCTAAATTATAAAACTCCGAAATTACTTTTAAGTAATACAATACTAGTCATTTTCATCCACAAGCACAAGTAGCCTTGTGAGATCATACAACCAGATGGAATAAATATATTGTCCGAAGGACCATGTAGCCATTTCTTTATTGACAATGAATAATGAAAAATAATTTTCCTAACTCAATTAAATGCGTTTTCTAGAGAAGTTCTAGTAAACGAACTATACTATACTACAGATATTGTTACCTGGAGGTAGGCTGAGAGCCTCTCGGACTCGGTCGACGAGCGCGTTGAATACCGGGTACGGCTCCTTGTTGGGCTTGGGGCCAATGGGTAGCAACCTGTTATATCAATTCAGTTACATACAATTGTAATCACTATTCGCTTCGATACTAAACATACGGGTTTTCACACAGACAGTCAGTAAGTCAGATAGAAGCCAGCACGCGCCCCCCCCCCCCCCCCTCCCAAAATGGTATATTTATATTATTCAGAAATTTAAAGCAGATTCGTGTTTTGTGAAGAAAAAATATAAATTCTTACCTTTCCGGAGGTGGTATATTGAAAGGCTGATGGTGCGGCTGGGGAAGTAAGGGCGGAGGTGCACTCCACGCCACCTCCATCTTGGATAGCGGTGATTCAGGGGATGCGTATGCATATCCGACTCCCGCTTTGGCTAAAAAAAATTATTTCATTAGAAGATAAAGCCATTTTGATTTTGGACAGCTTTCTTTATTCAGTTAGTGACGCTAAGGGTCAGCAGAATAGTTTCTCAGACGCAAGGCACACCGTGTCCGTAATTATGAACGATATTTATTTCTGTAAGTAAATCTTTTCAGATATTTTTACAAGTCGGACTTTTCTCTGAGAAGAAACGCCGAAACAAACCATGGAGGTGTCTTTTTGTTTAGTTCGTAAACAAAGTTAAAGAAAACTGCGAGTACAGTGTAGGGTCTGGGTAGGCCTTTTGAAGAAAGGACCATAGTTTTGAGTCGGCCTGTCCAAACAGACGTCATACGGGCCCAAACCATCGTGTAGCTTAACCGATGTTAGTCAAGATCGACGACCCGATGCGCGACACTACCGCCAGCAGGAGATTTGAGTAGGCCGTGGAAACACTCAAAAGTTTCTAAACATGAACGAACATTACAAGCCTACACTATACTCACATTTGCATACTTACACAAAAAAATATACTATACAATTCAAATTCAACACAAACGAAATACAACAATACAATAAATATCCATCATTTTCAAGCATAACATCAATGATAGTAAATGCGGTAGGGAGCAGCATCAATCCCAAGCAGATTTGTCATCTAAATAATCTGCAACCGTGTAGTAAGCCTTTTCACATAGTTTTTGTTTTACTTTGTAATCTACAGACGTTGTAGAATCCTGCTCGCTTCTGCTTCGGCCGCTTGCTTTTACAGCTGCACTAAAACTGCGCTCTTGGCGACTCCGGAGTAATAATTTTCGATTATACCATTTTCAATCGTAGGATCAACGTGACAAGGTCCAATTTCAATTGATGACGCATTAGTCTCTTCGCCGCCGTTCCTGCAGAATTTCTTGACCCTGTCGGTCAAGAAATACCGCAGGGTAGGCGGCAAAGAGCAGTTGCAAGGCACATCACGTTGTCAAAAGTCTGCCTCACGTTTTATCTTCGGTGTTCGTAATCCACAGACGGTATAGACTCCTGATCGCTTCCGCTCCCGACCGCTCTTGACGACTCCCAATTATACTAATTTCAATCGTAAAATAACGGGACAAGATCCATTTTCAATTGATGATGCATTAGTCTCTTTGCCGCCACTCCTAACTGACCTGACTGTATTGAGAGTGCAATTTTGTACAGATTAAATCTGATATATATAATTCTCGTGTCACGGTGTCCGTGCTTGAACTCCTCCGAAACGGCTCTACCGATTTTAGTGAAATTTTGTGTGCGCATCGGGTAGGTCTGAGAATCAGCCAACATCTATTTTTTTTGACATTTTTTTTCTAAATAATGTATATGGCAAAACAACGTTTGCCGGGTCAGCTAGTTCTTAGAGGAAAGTCACCAAATATGGAATACCATTTTGTTTTTGGGATATAAAAAAAAACTTCATATAAATTAAATCAGTTTAATGTTTTTACTAATCAGTCATACATTTATATGTAGTAATTCACAGCCTTTAATCAAATATATTAGTTATCAAATTAAAATCTAACACAAAAAACAATATCACAAATGAGTAACCAAATATGGAATAGGTACCCATATATGGAATATAAGCATAAATCAACATAACAATAACAAAAATGGACATTAATATCTTTGAGATCAATTAAATGAATATAACATATTGTGATCAATGAAACAAGTTACATAATTACTTGCAAAAGTCACAGATCCAAGTATCAAACTCTGGACCAGCACAATCATAATGTGCCCAGAGCCCACACACACACACACAAGCCATAATCCAGCTTTCTCCACTTTTATCCACGGAAAAAAGTCTTGAACAGAACATACATTCTGCATCAGCAAAGTCAGGAGGTACTTGGTCCATCAACTCATCATGTTCACTACCTTCATCAAACTGGATAACGTCTAGTTCCTCAGAGTCTTCTTCTTCACTATCATCCTTATTTTTCTTCGTTTGTTTGTTTCTCTTCGCAGTTTTCTTCTTATTCTTTGTCTTGACTAGTTTACTTTCTTTTTCTTGTCTCTTCATATTTTTATTTTTTAAATTATTTTTGTGAGGAGAAGATGTTATGACTGCTGCTACAGCAGCTTTTCTTCCTCTGCTAGATACTTTTCTTCGTTTCTCTGGCACTGGACTTATGGCATGCGGAGACACCAGATCCAAACTGCTGCGATTAGGCCCAGCAGTCGAAGGTGCAGATATTTCTACCAGAACTTGACCTAATTATGGAATATTCCATAATTAGACACCGACGACTGTCCATATTTGGATTTTTATGCTAGTTCATACTCTTCTAAATATTTTTTCAAGTCACAATATTTTAATGACAAAAGATCACAAAATGGTGAAATAAACATAATACCGATATACTAAATAGTATAACACTTATGTATATAAACATAACAGCTAGTAATATTCATTTATTACTTACCTTTAAAATTTTCTGCACGACAACAAAACAAAACACGCCTGCCACACTGCCGCCTGACTCGATAGTGTGAGTGCGATAGTTAGTAGACCGAATTAAACAGAAGATGGTCAAGTGTTGCGTTTCATACTTATAGTCTTAGAGAAATGAAGGAATTCCATATTAGGATACTATTTCATATTTGGTGACTTTCCTCTACTATAAAATATCCGTTTATTTGTATAAAGTCTTAGATACAATGATTATAGTATACACCTAATTAAAATAACCATTATTGGTTAGTCCGCATCCTGGACAGTTTTCAACTCCCTCATTCCTCAATGTGGTGATTTCCAGTGATGTACAGAATTGAAATCGCTTAGAAAGCAAGGTTAAGCTTTGATAGGCTACGGTAACCGCTTACTATCAGGCCAGCCGTAACGTCGTTTGTGTGTACGTAGTATACATATTCTAACTAATCTTACAACAGTGGTTATTGGTTTGTTTGATTGGTTTTACTTAAAAAAAAATTGTATAAACGTTCTCTCTCAAAGACCGAGATGGTTATGAGGGAGGCCTTCGTTCACCAGTAGACGGTAATAGGCTGAGGTCTCTCTCAAAAACTATAAAGTCAATGACAGCAACACCACAAAAAATAGTGATAAATAAATATCATATCGCCTAGGAAATAATTATAATATACAATAATTAATAATATAAGAGCAGTTGGTGTTAAACAACTCTGTTGCTGCTTCTCACCGAGTTAGTGAGATCACCGGAGCCCAACTGGTAACTTCAGTCACTCAGGGGTACCGTACGGACACAACCGCATATGACCATGAACGGTAGTAGGTTCTTACGAGTATTATCAGGTGACCACGGCCTCAATTCTGATATTTATGTTAGCGTTCAAGCCACTGTAATTCCATTGACACGCTATTGAAATGTCACTGATATCGGTCAAAATATCGGTATTCTACTAACATAAATTCAGTGTCAATAGACCGTCTAAGTAGTGACAATGACTCATCAATCTCTGTTTATCTGGAAAATTAAATGTTTTATTTCCCTCCCAATTTAAAATGTACCGTTTACCAAACTATTACAAAGACATCGACGACATTTGTATCAGTGGCAGTTCAGTGACAAGTCATCGAAAGACTATTGGCCTTACATAGTAGAATACGAAAAGTGCAAAACTATTTCGACGGCAGTCCATCGACAGTCAATTGATACAATATTAGGATAGCAGAATTGGGGCCTTATAACAAAACAGAAATTCTTACCTGGACTCTTGATATGATGCAGTGGGGGCGAGCGAGCGTGCGGCCACTGGCCGAAGTGCCCATCGCCGTTGGACGACGGCGCCGTGTCCGGGGACGTGCTGCTACCCACTGGGAGACAACCACCATTGAGTCAAGTCTAATAATAATAGTAACCTCATATATCTCACACATCCGTGTGGTGACGGATTAAGAATACGGAGTGTCACTATTCACCCCTATTCATCCCGTGGGTGTCGTAAGAGCCAACTAAGGAAGCAAACTACGCAGAACAACAGCACTGCAGAGAAAGAAAAGTTGAAACAAACCCTGTACCAAGCCGTCTGGACTGGTTGTATTGTTGGCTAAAACGGCCTTTGTACGGGGACGCCTATGTCAGTGGACTGTTTAAATCTGTTGATGATTATGATGTCTCACTCACGGCCGTCTGGTAATTGTACTATGGTAACCAGACTGCTGTTTAACATACCTATATATTTCTAAATACATACATATTACAGATTAATTACACCCAGACACAGAACAAATGATCGTGCTCGTCTCAAAACTTTTTTCCTGGGTGGGAGTCGAACTCACGACCTCAGGCCTAGCAGTTAAAATCACTCAACACTGAACCAAAAGGTCAGTCAATACAAATATCCTAATTACATATCCCAGTAGAATTAAGATTATAGTAGTATTATAGTTAAACCGCCGTAAGCTTGGCCCTTCTGATGGTTTGCGGGACGCGGGGCGGGTGATGCGCTCGGCTATACATGACACGATGTACTAACTCGATATCTTCAGATTTATTTGATTGAGATTTAATCTACACACGATGTAATAAAAATCGAATTTATTTCCATGTATTATAAAGTCAGTGTATTGTAAGTTTGTATGATTAATTGTAAAATTTAATACTGTACAATAATTTTAATAAAATCACCTTATCTTCATCATGTAAATTATATTCAGATACAATTTAAAAATTAAGTAAAATAATAAATATTCTTTATTAGAACTTTAACAGTAGAACCTCTGTAAGCCGAACTTCAAGTTTTTAAATCTTTTTGTGACGCAGAGTCGGCAGATTATCCATGTTGCAAAATAATACCGTGTGTAGCAGTCTTAAGAAAAATAACACGTACAGCCATGCTTTCACGTCAGTCACTGCCGGCGGACAGCGACGCACTAGTTAATTGGTTGAATGCACCCCCGCCCCGCGTCCCGCAAACCATCAGGAGGGCCAAGCTTACGGCGGTTTAACTATAGTAGAATGAAAAGTTGTAGTGTTGCCGTAGAATGAGCATATCTGATAAACCGAGGGTAACACCGCGGGGCGCAGATAGTCCTCAAATATGAACAATTCATTTCGTTTCTAGTTGTAACGGTAAAAAAAAATGATAATACAAAAAAATGATTATAACAGGATTTTTTTCGATTCGAAAAGTATACACAATATAATGTTCCTATTATATATAGTTATATTTCAATGTGTTTTAACTCAAATCTCGTAAACGGGGCCAATATGCAGATACTTATATACAGAGGTGTCGGTAACGGTAACAGTGTCGCAAGTTTAATGGTTTTATTCCCATCTCGAAAAATACATTATATTGTTTGTGGTTCAAAAATTCCCAACAAGCTTAAAAAAGTTTTCACTTCAAAAAACTTACCTACAATCCTTTTCTGTTTCCCAAGTATTTTAGCGCGAGGTGAAGTCTGTGGTCCATGCAATTGGTCTGGCCAGATCTCTACCGATTGGCCACTCATTGGTGTTGATTTCCTAATCATTAAAATATAATATTGCTTAACAGTTTATAATTAAAAAATAAATGAGTACACATAAACATAAACACATCCGGTTGTGAATTTTATCCAAATATGACGAAAATAGTTCTAACTAAATCCCATAGATTTGACTAAATTAGTAAAAAATCTCTAAAAGCAAAATAAAGATATGGTTTCTGACTAATGAGTTATCTTTAATATCACAAAAAAAAAAAGCAATCATACGTTAAAAACACGTAGACAAAAAATATTTTATCCAAAAAAAAATTGATATGGGAAAGGAAGGATTTTTGCCAGATTTGTATTAATATTGTAAAATAATAGAATACTCACAGATTTGAAGAGTCACTGCCAATAGATACAGATGAACTTGTGGACAATTGGTGCGCAGATCGAGAAGCGACTGGGGCCTGGAGAATTTAAATATCTTTAGAAGCGTCTTGATCGATGGCTGGTTTCTGGCTATTTCGGACATCTGATACACAACGCCATCTAGTTTCAAACTAAGCAGAGATTGTACTATAAAAGCTACATTGTCTGATACAATACTTATATTCTTTTTTTGTAAATACATGCATATTATACTTAGAAAACACCCAAAACTCAGAAACAAATATTTGCAGATCATACAAACATTTGGTTCGACCCGGGAATCGAATTTGAGATCTGGGCACAGCAGTCGCATACGCTACCACTGCGCTACCGAGGCCAACCATCCTAGCACATAGGCTTTAAATTTTGGGAGAGCCATACTTCGACTGGAGTGAAACCACAGCTTTATAGAAAACTGGTGTTAAGCAATTCTTTCGCTGTGTTCCACCGAGCGAGTAAGGTTGCTAACACAAAATCCCCCTCTTTTTTCTGAAGGGGGGAGATGTCAATGGGCGCAGGTAGTCACTTACCATCAGATGACCCGTCTGTTCATTTGCCCCTTTTACCATAAAAAAAATCTTCTATAGAAAATTTACAAGCATTGCGTATAAAATTTAATACATTACTTAACAATCAAAACTTACATTCAATAACAATTTGTACATTTGTCTAATTTATGAATTTTTTATATAACATTTTATGAAGGTTGCTGGCTTACAATTTTGCTGAGTGGTGGGTATGGAGTAGATGTCGCTGGAGTCTCCACTTTCGGCGGATCTTCATAATGAGAAGGCTCATCGAACGAACCCTAGGATAAAATAAAAGCCATAATAATCACTAAAGAATATTTGTAGTAAATAGAAGAAGCTGGATTGAAGTTAGGTTAAGTGGCCAATTTAATGGCCCTTAATACTCTTGAAGTACCCTAGTAAGTTGAAAATGTCTGACAATATGCTGCTACCGAGTAATTTTCTGTTTCTAAAGGTTGTGAGCATTTGCTCATAACTTCCGTGAAAATTTCATAGTTAGTGTCATTTTGTAAATTTATTTGCATTTTACATCTTCTAATTATTTTACTGTTGGCTAATTAATAAATTTTCAGGGGTTTACCTGTAATTAATTTATTGTGTTTTTCTCTATACAACAAATAATAACTTACCGGTGCGGTGCTGCCATGCACGGTGGTATCAGATTTATCACTGGTCTCCGGTATGGCGATCAGCTCACTCTCAGAAGATTCCTGTTCTAGACTCCACTGTTGATACCTAACAAGACAAAGGCTATTTTAAATAACCTTTTAAATAATTAAGATATTTTAAATTAATTTTAGAAGTCTCTCTAAGTTCGCATCCTCAATCTAGCAATAGCATATTGTGTATATTTAATGCTAGTCCAGTTAGTGCTAGTCGTTGACGTAATCATTGAAGATTGTGATACTTTTCAAAAGTAAATTCGTATCAATATGAATGTATTGAAAAGTTTCTTGACTTGTAATCGAACAGCTGAATACTTAATGTCTCAATTCGGAAAAGAGTTTATAGACGCCCGTATCTGTATGGAATAATTACCAACAAATTTTCAATACGAGTGTGAGAGATGTTTTTACATTAAAAAAGTATGAAACTTCTTGACATTTTGTTTTATATTAGGAAAATTTTTGTGAAGCGATCCAACGTCCTGCAGAAAACACTGGGATTTTTACGTATTCATCCAGACGGACAGAAAAATGATGATATACCTAGAGATTTGTATAATCACATGATTATTTATTTAATATAAACATTAGTACTAACTTGGCAGACTTGCCAGGCTCTTCCCAATGCGTATGCATATGCGCAGGAGATTTGTGCTGGTGCAGTTTGGCCTTGGCGCGGTCCAGCGGAGGGAGGGGACTGGACGAAGGCCGCTCAACGATTGGTTGTGGGGCGGGCTCGTGCTCCGTCTTTAGCGACGGTTGGCTAAGATCTAAACCAATATATAGTTTTAAGTCTAAAATAAATTCAAGCCAGTTAAACGTTGCAACGTTCAGAATCTTACCTCTATTGCGGGTGGTGTGAGGCATGACGATCATGGGTGGTATTCGCTTGCAGACGTGGTACTGTGCCTCCACAGAGTTAAGCACCACTCGCACCAGAGACTGCACCATTTCGCATATACTGCCAGTTCCGTAGTGGTACTGCGAAATCCACGAATATAATTATATTTACTCGAACTGGCTGCATTTATTAAAGGGTGTTTGTAAACTAATAGTTTACGAGTTGTGAGAAAAAAGAAATGTTAGTTCTACCTAGGCCAACTGTAGACGTTATTTTATTTTACTACCATTATTTACTATAAAACTTTAAATGGCTCCGATTTTTCCATTACAAATATTTTGAGTTACAGATAATTTTTCTTAAAAGACAACGCACTAGGAATATATCCTGTGTCGGGACTTTACAAACATATATAAAACGGGCACACACAAAACACCCAGATTCAGAAGAACAATTTGTGAATCACACAAAGTGTTGTCCCATGTGGGGCCCGAACTCACAATATTCAGCTTAGTAGAAAGCGGTGAGCTGATCGCTTAAACTATTACGCCATCCGTGCAGTCGATGAGATATTCACCTCTGATAATGTTTTTTTTTTCTACAGTCGGCCCTTCTTCCCGAGCTTTTACAATACTGCTAACTTCCGAAATCTAAAACCTTCCAAGTGCCTCGTTGACGATATGCTAAACCACTATTATACAACATTAACTGGGATTAAACGTGAAAATTGTATTTACGTGCACTGTATAACGCCGTGAGCAAGTAAAAACAACCGCAGCAACCAACACCCATGACGTTCAGGAGTATGAAGTCGGCTCACCTTGTACAAGACGACGAGCAAGGCCATGAGCCAGTGGCGGCGCACGTGCGGCTCGAGCGCGCCGAGCGAGTGCACGCTCCCCGCGCCGCACGCCCTGCTGCCCGCGCCGCAGCAGCACTGTGCACACACTCCTCATTCAACATTGCACTAACACTACTTATAGCATACATTTTTCCCTACTGAAAGGTTCCAAAACACTATTAAAAAAATTTATATTAAAGGACCAACGCACCAAATGCACGATTGCGTAAAGTGTTGCCATTTTAGAAACCAAAAAATAATCCACAACTACTAATTAATAATTTAATTATTATTTTTAAAGATAACTCCCTCACCAGAAATAAATCCTGTGTCGCGGGGTACTTTACAAACATACATGAAACGGACACAAAAAACACCCAAACTCTTAAAAACAATTTGTGGATCACACAAAATGTCGTTTGTGTGGGGATCGAACCCACAACACTCATCGCAGTAGGCAGCGGCGAAGTGACCACTTAAACCACTACAACATCCGTGCAGTCAATATTGCAATGTTTATAACAACTAGCTATAATAAATTAGTGTTGTAGTTACTGTTCGATATTTTGAAAATAGCGCAGGTTTCTAATAATCGTACATAACGAAGTAATGTATACGAAATTTTTCATAACTATATTTCATACTTAATATCTTAAAATGACGAATAAGAATACGGAATATCACAACCCCCAATGTCACTTCATCCCGTGGGTATCCAAAATAACGCAGGACACCAGCACAGCAAAAAGAAGGAAAACTTGACACAAACCCTATATCAACCCGTCTGGCCAGCTTGGTATAGTAGGCCAAAACCTCCTTTCTAAGGCTCTCCTTATAATGGATGCTTTGGTTTTGTTTGGACCTCTGCCTATGTCCAGCAGTGGACTATTAAAGGCTGTTGATGATGATAATGATGATCTTAAAATGTAGCAGATATCGTGTCTTAAAAATTGGGGTGACTTATCCGTATGATATAATAATTGTAATAGATACTCGTAACTGTAATAAAATAAATACTCCCTTATCAGACAACTAATCCGGTCCAAGATCTAATAAACATTCTATTTTACCTGTAGCAGTAGTAGCGTAGGTTCAGCGATACTGGCACCCATCACGTGATTCTGATCCAGCACTTGCGGTAGATTCGCCATGAACGCGTTGAATATTGACGATTGTCTATCAGAACAATAATGATATGACCATTACACGAAGTTGGCTAATATTTTCAGGTGTAAAATAGGCAGCGGTAGTCACTTACCATCAGGGGACCATCTCCTATGCCATAAGTTAAAAAAAATGGTAGGAAAAGCTAAGAGCCCGAAAACTAAAGGGCTGTCATGGCAGAAACATTATATCAGATTGTGTTACAGTAGTCAGATTATATCAATTTCTGCCAAAATATAGCCTTAAAAATATTGGTGACAATAATATGAATGATCTAGAATCCATATATTATTGGTAAATGCGAAAGTCTGTCCGTCCGTCTGTCCTCCTCACGCTTAAACCGCGGCACTGATTTAGATGGAATTTGGTTTATAGATAGTTTGAGTCCTGGAAAAGGACAAGGATAGTTTTTATTCCCGAAATCATCCTCTAAGAGTGTAAGGGGAGGAGAAAATTGGAAAGGGACTACAAGACTTATATAATGTAACTTCTCGTTAGGAATAAAGAATGTTTATGCATTTTTGACCGATTCGTCATTCACTTAGGAGTGAAGTTTGTGTGGGAATCTCAAAAATTTTAAAATTAATCACTTTTTAAGTAAGTAATAAAACTCAATTTTCTTTTACTTTTCCTAAGATTTAAAAAATGCTTCTCCAATTTTATAGGTTATAAACTTTAGTAAAGCCACTGTTACATGTAGTTAGGAAACGAGGCTCGAGTCCAGAAGATCTTCAAGTGTTAGCAAAGGACGGTCAAACAAAAAAAGTTAGTTTACAGAAATGTGTTAAATATTATCTCGCAGTTACAAATCATTCATTGAGCTGTCTAATTTAATTCTGGTTGTACATTATGTTTTTAAATCAAAACCGCTAATTGCGGATTAATGTTAAATAAGCTCGGATAAAATATAAGCCATCCCTATTATTATAAGCTATCTTATAAGCTATATAATTATTAATAAGCTATTATATATACTTACTAATTCCACGCGGACGAAGTCGCGGGAAAAATCTAGTATTCTTATATAATACATTACTAACCTGAGCGTATATGGTGATATATGAAAATATTTCTCCACGCAGTTGTAACCCAACAGCAGGAAGAGGTGTTTGAGAACCAGCTCTTGAGTTTTTGAAGTTGTCTTATCTTCTGTTGGGTGTGCTTGGTCAGACCTAAACAAACCAATATTTGATATTTAATGCAATAAAAATTAATGAAAATATGATATGTGGTTGCCTGTTTCTGTATGGCGCTGCCTGTAGATTGTATTCAAAGATGTGTGGTCCTTCGACTCCTGTTTCGAAGGACCCACTGCTTATTGGAGAACTTCGAAACAGAACAGAGCAACAATTATGATTTCTGTTATATATTTCTAGTAAATAGAACTTTATGACAAAATTTAATCGGTTATTACCTGGATAAGAACTGCATCAGTAAAAACACCAAAAGATTGGTGGTCTCCCTGTCTGCTTCTTCCAAGTCTACAGCCTTGGGCAGCACAGTGTTGAGCGTATCTTCTGAACGCCCGGAAAGCGAGTGGAAGCCTTCTGCGAGCAGAAAATCTTTTTTTTACAGTTTGAGTTTTTGAACAGTTCACCTATGAAATACAATATTCATAAAATATAACATATTACCACTACCTAGTCTTTATATTTATGAAATCTGTTTTCTGGCAGGAATACACAAACTCTTAATACCCAGAAAAAGACTAAGTATGTTTGGTAAGAATGTATACTGTATGACTATACATATTTATAACAAGTTACCAAATAGTCTTAAGGAATATACGTTCATAGACAAATGTTTCCACAGTATCCTTACCTCTTCTACATTTTTGACGATTAGAATTGTGACATAGTGATTATAAAATGAAATGCTCAAATTATTTCTTGACATGGATGGAATCTCCTTAGAGACAACTCACCGTTTAGTTCTATCTACCTAGACAGTTTTGTACCTAGTTTTTTCTTTATTTAAATTCAATCTAATAAAATTTGGCAATGGTAGACTTGACTTGCATCTAAAATGTAACTACCAACCACTCTGTATACCCATATTCTGACAAATAAGGGTATTATTATTATTTAGTCATTATTACATGTTTCATCCATTTCAGTAATCATATTACAAACATCGCTATAGAAACGGGAAAATTGTGTTTTACATTTACTTAAAATATTAACTATATTTCAGACTTCCGAGGTAGGGTAGACTTTTTCAAAACTTATTTTAAATGTTACTCCTCACCATCACCAACAGCCTCTAATAGTCCACTGCTGGACATAGGCGGAGGCCTTTCATATGTTTATTTATTTTATTTATTTCATATGTTTTACATTTACTTAAAATATTAACTATATTTCAGAGTTCCGAGGTAGGGTAGACTTTTTCAAAACTTATTTTAAATGTTACTCCTCATCATCACCAACAGCCACTAATAGTCCACTGCTGGACATAGACGGAGGCCTTTCATATGTTTATTTATTTTATTTATTTCACATTTACTTAAAATATTAACTATATTTCAGACTTCCGAGGTAGGGTAGTGGTTTTCAAACAAATTTTAAATGTTACTCCTCACCATCACCAACAGCCTCTAATAGTCCACTGCTGGACATAGACGGAGGCCTTAGAAAGGTTCTTCTGTTGCTCCTCGGTTATTGTGATTCCTCGGCAAGCCTTAACTGTTTATCGAATTTCCACGTATAAGGTTTTATTATTGATTTTTCTTAGTTCTGAAAGATTTATTTTAAATATTTCTGAAGTCGTTGCGGTTTTGTTACAACTATTGATTTTTTATATAGGTGCCAAAATCAGACGGCTCACATGATGGAAATTGACCACCGCAGCCAATGACTGATTGCAACTCGATCTGTTGAGCACGCCAACCTCCTTAACTTGTTTATTTCTTGATGGCTACTTGGTCAGTATTTGTCTATCTTTCGTGGGCGAGTCATGTTTCGGCAAAAATGGGTGTTAATTTTTTTTCGCTCCTCCTGTTTCTGCGATAAACACTCGAAGAGCGGCAAGAAACTTTTGACTCGTAGTTGCAAGAGAAAGCAGTCGTTTTATTATTCCGTACGTATATTTTTGCGTTTCTGAGCTGATGATAGAAGGGTTATTGGCTTTTAGGAGTTAGGGGATGATTCTTTCAATAATAATAAGTTATTGTAGGCGATTTGAATTCGGTGATACTTTCTTTTAATTATTTGTCCTCACCCTCTCAGCCTTTTCCCAAACTAGGTTGGGATCTGTTCTCAGGTAACTACGTCGCGGCTGAACTTCGATTTTTTACGTAAAGCGACATCAGACATCCACATTATCATGTAGGCGTACTTTATAATTAAGTGCGCATATTTTGCCGCTCGGGACGGGACGGGACTGCACGGATGGCGTAGTGGTTTAAGCGGTCGCCACGCCGCTTGCAACTGCGCCGAGTGTTGTGGGTTCAAACCCCACATGGAACGACATTTTGTGTGATCCACAAATTGTTGTTCTGAGTCTGATTGTTCTTTGTGACCGTTTCATATATGTTTGTAAAGTCCCCCGCGACACAGGAATGTATTTCTACTGCGGGAGTTGTCTTTTTTAAAAATGAATGAAAATTTTTATTAAAATGTATATTTGCATGTTAGTTTTCCCATTATTTAAATCAGTTTATGCAACTTTTTTTAGTTTAACAAACTTAAATTCAACCCATTAGGTAAAAATCATAATCATATTACAATCAAGACAGCCATCGTTACTTTTATCATCATCATCAATCATCAACAGCCTTTCATAGTCCACCTCCTTAGAAAGGAGGTTTAAAATGAATTTAAAATATTGGTTCGGATTAAAATTTATTTTTTATTTTATTTGTTTTTCTATTATAAATACACATGACTCTGCCCTTACGTCCTCTGCTATAGATAAACCTAGGCCTCCCCCAAGGTTAGCAAATAACCGGTCCTGTGCTGCCCGCATAGGACACAATCTACAATCTATACGAGTACTAATATTAAAAGCTAGAGTTTGATTGCTCGGTTGAACGCGCTAATCTCAGGAAGTTCTTATACGAATTGAAAAATATATTTTAGTATTGAATAGCCCATTTATTGAAGCTGTAGGCTATATAACATCACGCTACGGCATAAAGGAGCGGAGCATTAACAAAACCTGTTCCAAAAACAGCAAAAAATTATACCTTTTGAGAGACGCAGCAAAAGTGCGCGGGTCGGATAGTATAGTATAAAAGAATAAATAACTGCAACATATCGGATGAACGGAATTGGATGAAATGATTCTGGAATAGACTCTGGGCCATATTAATGATTAACGTGAGCGAAGTGGCTGCGAAGCTAGTGTATTATAAGATCAGGGCGTAGTACTAGAGCGCGGACTGCGATAATTACCCGAATGTAGATTGCTGACCATAGTTACGTGCTGAAGCTGCACTGTTTTATGAACAAATCGTAGGAAACCGGACCCGTGATTCACCTAGGTTCTCCTGGTAGAAGCACAGGAACCATATAGCATCCCGTGCTCCAACTGATGACGTTATCGTACAGTCATGCAATATTTTTCCCTATACGATTCAAACGATCGCAACAATTATTTAATACGAGTGAATTTATTTATACAATTATATAAAATTGTTTGGTTTGTGTACGCTTCAACAACTAAAAAGTTTTTTTTTTTTATCTTTTTTTATTTAGGGGCTTGTAGTCACATATAAGACCATGTCAGCCCTATCGTACCCTAAACTTACAATGTACTAATCTCTAAATTTAACTTAAATATATAGAACCTACTGCTATTAATAATACTGGAATATAAACTGTACTTCAAATAATTTATAAACTAACAACGCCGCTTCTGACAGAGGCTTTGACAATATACTTTGAAACATACCAACATCTATTAGCAACTAAAAAGTTCTGTACCGATTGAGCTATAATTTTTACACGATATACGAGTATAACTCGCTTTAAAGATTGTTTTTTATCAGTTTTGTCCTCATTAGTCATCAATGTGCCAGAGCGAAGCTTGGCAGGGTGTACTCTACTATCTGTAACTAGTTATACATATTTATATCTTTATTATTAACCGACTTCAAAAAGGAGGAGGTTCTCAATTCGATTGGTATTTTTTTTTTATGTATGTACACCGATTACTCTGAGATTTATGATCCGATTTCCGTGATTCTTCTTTAGTTTGATGCGGAATAGTTGCCATTTGGTTCCATAAAAATTTAACATAGTTAGGCCCAGTAGTTTTCATTTTATGAACATTTTTAATGAATATTATTGTTTACTTGGATGATATAATTTTAGTTTATAATCTCGGAACGAAGAAATAAATAAAAAGGAAATTTTAAAAATAAGTAAAAAAATTAATCTACATTTAACTGTCTTAATCGTTGCATTTCCTGTAGTGCTTTGTCATCATGTGGTTTGTGTAATAATTTAGATGGTTCCAAATCACTTAATGCCACGCCATCTAAATTCTTCACTCGACTTAAAGCCACATATATCTGACCTTTTGCAAATTTTTTTTTCCGAGGTTTATCACCGCCCTCTCCAATGTCGTACCTTGGAGTTTGTGAACGGTGACAGCCCTACTTAAAATTAGTGGCAGCATTAATCTCTCGACATCACCGTAACCTTTATTGGCCTGAAAAGTTGCAGATGTTGATGCGATTGAAACTAGGCCCTCCGCATCTTTTACCCTAGTGCCTACCGTCTCGTCATCAAATTTATTCAATACTGCTTCGGGCAGTTCTCCTGCTTCTAGTTGGTCACGGCGAAGGGCTGGCCACTTGTTTTTTTTTTATTACACCCATTGCTCCGTTGACTAATCCATCAGAGACCGCCATATATCTTCTCAGCATCACCCTAGAACCTATCCATATTGTAATGCTATTTAATAATCCACCATAGTTGTTAACATCTACATGAATGACATTATGCGGAGGCCGTTTACCATTTCAGACGTCTCTTTGGCAAAACGTTCTTGAATCTTAGCCAGTCTAGACTGTACAAGAGTTTCTTAGGTAGCACATACAAACACTAGTATTTTATTAATATTAAAGGTTTGCATAAGAGGTGTATTAAATTTAATCTTTATTAAGTTATTTTTATTTTACAGTGATATCGCAAAATACCGTTTATTTAGACTTAACGCTAACCTAACGCCGCGACGCAAAGAACACTTAAAAAACTTTCATTTTAGATTCACTAGTGTGATTTAATGGTACAGTACGAGATCCGGGTGCAGAATCAGTGCACTCATTGAGCATGTGCTAAAAACCCATATTTATGATTAGGAGATTATATATCTACCAGGTTGCCTATCAAAATATGGCCGCTAGTGTTTTTAATTCAATTTTTGTTAATAGATTTTTGGGAAAACATTTCGTCACTTGTTCTTTAAATAAAACATAGTTCACTTCACGGCAATATATATAAAGACTCTGAAAAATCACGGTTGCCGTTGCGCACTCGGCCGCACCTCTTCGCAGCCAGGTGTTAACAAGTTTGATTTTGAGACATTTATGCGTTCATAA